TTAAAAACGAATTTCAAGCCAAACTTTTCCCCTCACCTCCAGTAATTACATATTGTGGAATCTGGTTGCATGTCATTTTGTATTATAAAGAAACATGTTAGGTCAGTCTTGTGTTCTGTGTTAAGTGAAGTTGACAGAGATGGCCCTTCTTCTATTGCAATATTGCAAGAAACATTTAATAATATAAATAACTGAAGAGGTGCTTAAAATTTCATTGACTCAGATTCATTCAAGTTTTAGTATTCTGTCGCAGTTCATAAAAATTTGGAAGTGACGACAAATTAGTTGCCAGAAGCAAGGAATGCTAAGAACAGATTCAACGGTTCGGAAGGTTATGCAGTAAAATAAAATTGACATAAAATAAAGTGACATCGTGTGTCAGAAATATGCAATATTAGTGTCATGTGATGGGGAATACAAATTTCATCAATATAAATTACTGTTTTGTGATAACCGAGAAGGAACTACAATAAGCTATTTGAGGACGACTTTCGTGTTTCACGGCATCAATGCCTCGCTTTCTGTCTAAGATACTTACGGCTTCTGTGAGTACTTTGCGTAATCGTGGGTACTTATTAAAATACTCTAGACTTAGTAGAGTAAGAATTTTAATGAACAGTGTAATGTATAAAATTTTCTGTTCTATATCACATTATTATCATTTATATATTTATAAATATGCTGTGATTTATTTCACTGAATTTGATTTGTTTCATTCCGGTCCGCCACACTAATATTATGAAAAGTTAAATAGTTCCGTTCAGTGTGACTGGTTAATATTTTCTTATTTCAATTATTCATGCCCTTACATGTTTCGACCTTCAGAGACCATCTTCAGAGGGACATCTTTACATCAGTACAGTTAGAAGCCACTACTACAGTACATGTTCTAAAAGTCAAAATATGTACATACAATATAAATAGTATACAATTGGCTGTAAAATCTAAAGCCTTTACAACTACAGCGGCTGTTCCAATACTTTAAAATATATATAGTTAGTTTGTTAAGATTCTATTGGAATTCGTAAACCGACCTGGTTCGTGTCGTCCCTCTTATTATTTCTTTTGATGGGGGCCGAATGTGTGCCCCCTTGTCGTTCTCGAGAAGAGGGTTCTTTACTGTTGTCCTGTATGTGTTTGTGGCCCACTGTGTTGCCAGCTGAACGGAACTATTTAACTTTTTCATTTATTTCATTGTTATGAAATTGAGTTGTATGAATACATGAATATGACAGAAGTAACTTGGTTATAGTGACTGTCTGTAGGCTGAGGTACTGAATATAATTCCTGGCAGGGGTGACTTTTCTTTCGTCACTGCATTAGGAGTCGGGATAGCTCAGTGGATATAGTGATGGACTACGAGCTGGATGGCCTGGTTTCGATTCCAGGTAGTGCCAAGACTTTTCTCTTCTCCACAGCATCCAGACCGAATCTGGGGCCTATCCAGCCTCCTATCCAAGAAGTACCAGGAGCTGAAAGAGGGGGTAAAGCTTCTGGGGCTTGAAGCTGACAACTCACCTTCATCTAGTGTCGAGGTCTTAATGGCATAGTGCTTAATTTAAACACAGTAACAGTTTTATCTTGCGTTTTTATCTTTTAATGCCTTTTATTCCTTTCTCAAATACGAATCGGAAAAAAGATTATTTTGTTGGGGTCGCCACACACTTCCTCAGTCAAAGATGATAAATAAATATAGAAATTGCTATTTCTGTAATTTCCGATTCCTATGTACTTTCACCATCATCAAATTCCTTTCGTTGCTTTGATGTTCTCCTTTTCTATGGACAGAAATACCGACTGATAAAAATTAACAAAATAGTCTAGGGGGATTTGAATCTACTTCACAGAGCTTCTATGATCCACAATTTACGCGCTTGTGTTTGGTAATAAAACCAAATAAAATATAATATAATATAACTCAATGTAATATTCTGTAAAATTAAAATACTCCCTGACGAAAGGAACAGCTGTTGTGAAACTTTCATAATTAACCTACAGTGCGCTGCAAATTGTTCCACACCAGTGATGAGTGTAATATAAATTAAACATTTTCAGAGGAAAGCAGATGAAGTGACATGAAGGAAAATTGCATAATGAGGAGCTTCATAACTTGTACTCTTCTCCAAATATAATTAGAATTATCAAGTTAAGGAGGGTGAGGTGGGTAGGGCATGTAGCATGGATGGGGGAGACGATGAATGCATATAGGATAATTATAAGAAAGCTAGAAAAAAAAGAGACCACTGGGAAGACCAAGGCATAAGTGGGTGGATAATATTAAAATTGATCTTAGAGAAACAGGATAGGATGATATGGATTAGATTGATTTGGCTCAGGATAGGGACAAGTGGAGGGCTCTTGTCAACACGGTCATGGACGTTCAGATTCCATAAAATGATGGGAAATTCTTGAGTAACTGGAGAATTGGGAGCTCTTCAAGAAGGGCTCAGCTCCATGAGTAAGTAAGTAAGTAAGGCGGAAGCAGAATGTAATGGAAAAGAACTCAATTACTTTTAATAGCCTCAGTGACCTTGCAAGGTTCAGACTGGCCCTGGGGTACACTCAACTTCCTACCCATGTATACTGTTGCACAGAGAAAGTGGCTATTCACCTCCAGAGTATGCCGAAGCCAGGAACCGGTGGAGCCATGTTTCATTTCCCTCATACTCCTGCCTAAACACACAGCCATATTTATAAATTTACCAATGACACTGCGACTGTACTGAGCTATCTCGGATTTTGAGAAGTTACTTGCATCTAATTAACAAAGTTATCCAGTTTAAGTTGGCGGTTTGTGATGGCGCTAGTTTTGAAACCAACTCTCTCCACATCCCAGAACTTTTGCTTGATCAGCGCTGAGTCTGTAAGTTATATTCTATTGACGAGCACTGCTTTAATATGTCAATACACATGAAAACTCGTGCGAGGGACTTATCACTATTGAACATGCTGCCTACCGAACGTAACATTTGTGAGTAAAGGTAAAACGGTGAAGTTGTCCCTCGCTTAACTAATTAAGTACTATGTCATAAAGTTTCGATCACAGTAGTCACGCGGTCTAAGGCATGAACTCTCTTCGCTCGCTAGAACACTGGGATCGTGGGTTCGAATCCCACTCAAGGCATGGATGTCTGTGTTTATTCTATTTGTGTTGTCCTGTGTAGGCAGCGGCCTGGCGAAGGGTTGATCTCCCGTCCAAGGAGTCCTAACAACTGTTTTAGGGTTAAGAAACGGAAGTGAAACCAAGAGTTTCACGGATGTCCTCTGCTCCAAAACGGGAGCAACAGAAAGAGAGAGAGATGTTATAAAGTCATGTGGGCGTGGAGGAATATCTCCATATTTTATTGACCTCGGCACAAGAGGGATATGAACGGTCATCTTCACCCCCTGGGAAAGAGCCATTGGTACCCACTGGGTGGGCCCCCGCACCAGTCTGGACACTGAGCAAAAGAGAAAAACCTTGGTCTGCAGTAATCGAGCCCTGGTCGTCCAGCCCACAGCCCGTCCCTACACCGACATTCTTACTTCGTGTTCGGAAGATAACGGATTCGAATATCAGACCGGAGACCAGTCATCCTGACTGAAGTTTTCGTGATCTTCCTCAGTCCCTCCAAGCAAATACACGAGTAGTATCTTATAGTAGGCCACGGCACATTTTGAAGTCATCATTCATAATAAGCTTATTATCCGACGTTCTGTAATCTACGAACTGTAGAAAGCGCCGTTACATAGCTCAAGCTTCAGTGAACGCACTTAACATACAAGCCTTTAGTGTACCCCCACTGACGTGTTCATAAACATAGGAAATACACAAGGTCGAGGACTTGGAGTACAAACATATTTCTAAACAAAGTTGAAGGTCGACGTTAAGACACGTGACCATCCACTCCGGGCTAGACAGTGAACTTCAGAATTAACTTTGTTCTGTGATAGTGAAAGTCCCCACGGAACATATGAAGGATTCATACAACAGTTTGCTTTAAAAATCTGAAGGAAAGAGGCCGCTCACTGAGGTGCCTAGGCGTACACGTGACTATACAGTCTACTATTAAATCGATCTAAGGGAAGAAATCGCTGTTTATTTCGAGAATGAAATCGAAATCAGAAACATGTTTTAGGGGAAACACTATTTGATTTAAATTTAAAACTTGTGGCTGACGGAGTACCACTGCCATATTAGATGATGTCGAAGTAGTCTGTGAGGGAGTGACGGAATAATCTGCTCACTATAGGACCCATTTATGGAATCTTGTGAATATATTAATTAACCTACTGGCTCCAATAGGTGGGAAAGTATCTGAGTCAGTTCAGCGGGTATCAGCTTCACAGGAAGGGATCTACTGAATGAAGTTCATTTGAAGTTAGATACTGTTTTTTTTTTTCGGTGTAATTAATGTGTTTTTATAAATCCATTAAATTAGAATTCTTCTGAAGACTCTGTAATATATTCTTTGTGTAATGGGCGTCTTCCCAACAATAACTAAAAACAAAATGGAAATTAATATGCCACTGAGTGGTAGGACTGATAAAGTTTCTAAATTACATGCCAGCAAATGTTACATCTGCTCTCCATGAAAATAACAGGAACCGCTTTCTCATTAAGAAAAACATCACATTCTGCCAGAGGACGCAAATAACGCTGACCAACAACATAATATCATGTATTATTGGTCCATACAATCAGCATGATTCCTCTTGCCAAAGCATCCATGGAAACCCAAGGTAATTAGCCAGGCTTAAAATGGATATACTTGTACCACAATTGCAGCCACTACGTGATGCAACTGCATGGAACTACAAGTTTGTTAACCAGATATGTATATTACGTTAAGCCCCATAAATTCGGATAAAATAACAATACTACCGACTGTATTAATCATTCCCATCAATCAAATTATACGCTTCACCGCTAATAGTCAGGTATTCATGCAACTAAATAGTTAAACTCACGGCTAATAGATGGATGCACTGTAGCTCTCAGGGATGCTATAGGTACCTACCGACAGACGCAACCACGGATTAATGAGGACGCATCTGACGTCGACAGACTTATGTCGTATTCAATGGGAAAGCACTTCCTAATGGTGAGTATTACAGCTTACTCACTCTCAAGACTAAGTACGCTATAACCTGGAAACATATAAAGTGACATTAACTTGAGATACTACTGTATATATATTTACGTCACGTTGAGCTATGTATTATATATCACACATTTTTTATTGCATTGAGATTACTATCTTCTGGTATATGACACGGTGTTACATCCCAAAAGATAGAACCCTTCATAACCACCCCTGTGAGATCCTGAAATCCTACTTCTTATTGCATCGTTGGCTCGCCACACAACAAAGTTTACGACGATCTAAGAGAATAATTTAATAAAATATGTCAACACCTAACAACACACACACAGACAAATGATACACATTAATAAATAACACAACAGATCATATTTACTGCATTTTAATCAATTTTAATATGAATTAAGCATACATTATAAACACTGGTATAAGGCACAATGGATATGATCTAGAATTTCAAATTTAATAAATTAACAAATTATAAATTAACAATTAAATAGATTAGTCATGTAATTTGATTAAAAGCTGTTTTATACCTATGATGTATTGTGATTGAGTGGTTTACGGTATACAAAGCCTGATGATTCCTCTGTAGATAGAAACATGCAGTCTATGAATAACGAATATTAATGCAGTTTGAATAAAGCGTATGTGCAACACAGAATGTTGCTTGGCGATACTACAACATAAAAACTGTGCTACAATGTAAAAATTAAATTGGTAATACTAATAACATCTGTTCACATAACTACACCACCATTGCGATATATTGATAAAAGGATATATATTTAATTACGTACAACAAAACTAGTTTATTAATTTCAAATAATTCTTACGTTATTTAACGAATTAATTTCAGTTACAGATTATATATATATATATATATATATATATATTATGGAATGACAAGATAAGACATTCGTGACTGGTAAGACAGGTTTTGTAATGAAGGAACAGTGATCTAATACAGCATTGACTTAAAGGACTGAGTAAAACCATGAACGACTCAGAAAATTTTCCAGCGGGGAATTTAAGCCTGGTGTCTGCAAAACATAAGGCATATCAGTGAATATATAAAGGAAATAAGGGACTTAAATTTTCCCAAATATTTTATTTCTGTCTGAGATTCGAATTTCTCACGACGGTGATTATCCAAATCGCGATTACTTGAGATCTGACATCGTGTAGACTGGTATATATACAACCTGAGCACTTACGCAGAAGACAGCAGTTTCTTCATCCACCTGATGATGACAGCATTGGTCGAAACATGTAGTGTAAAATTTTAAAGTGAATATGTTTTCATAAGTTTTATAGAAAATTAGTGTTGCACGTGAGACTGTGGAACTAACTAATATTATTTGACCGATTTTCACGAAACGTTGTACTGTTTGCGACAAGTCTATTGATATAATTGCAATTTTCCTATGATCATTAATGATAGAATGGTGAATGGAAGACTTCAGGGAAGAAAAGCGCAATAATTCACCTCAACGTCGACTGGAGCGTCAGAGTGTGTGCTTAATCGTGTTGTGTGTTGTCACATTGAATTACGTACGTAAGGTTAGGTCAGTTTCGCATGTCAGACCACTGCGCAACCATCTGTACACTCTGGCAAAAGAGAGTCACACTGTCAGGTCAGTTGAATTTAACGGCTGTAAGGTTAGACTGGGGTTAGATTAGTTAAGCTCATCACTATACACATTAACACGTATACGCTTCTGAGAGTAAATTAAATAACATGATTAACTCGATAAAATAAATGTGAACGCATACAATAAGGTACATATTCCGCACACATCCACATGTAAATGTAACTGGTGCAGCGAATTGTAGTTGTCTCCAGTAGGCATACTGGCTGTCCATCAATCCATATATATTCTTTTTTTCGCTTAGTGGGGGTTGGAGTCCAGCTGGGTCCACGCGGCACGGCGGCCACTGATTGGCCTATTGTAGCCTGCCCTGGGTAATTATAATGATGGACAATTTGGTGAAATGAAGATTGGCAGTGGAAACCGAAGCACTCGGAGAAAACTCGCCCCAGCGCCACTTTGTCCACCACAAATCCCACTCGATCAGACCCGGGATCGAACCCGGGCCACCGCGGTGGGAAACCGGCGACTAACCGCTTGGGCTATGGCGCGGCCATCAATCTATACATACCAACATCTGTAATTTTAGCATGTGATCACATGGTACCACCCTTATAAAATACATTTAGCACAACATATCCATTACCGGATCAAATATTCGCTGTATATTTTTTTTGGCTGCTAATCTACTTTCCTTATTTTAAACAAATGAAAAGAGGCTTATGAGATCACCTTGCTGTTTAAGTGTTTGTGTCCCCCCCACCCTAACTTTTCTGCGTGTGTATCAGTTGTCTTGGGAATATGTTTATAGAAACGTTGCCAAACAACAGTCATCTCTTTTGGTTCCGCTTTTGCGGCTTTCGTGCACCATGTCACATAGCATTAAAAAGTTGTTGGAAGTTGTGTTTTTTGAGTGGTCCGTGTCGTATCATATACTCAATATGTAATGGAAGGAAAGTAAGCAATCAGTTCTTCCCAGAACGTCTTGTTACATGTCTCAATTAATCCTTGTATATTTTCACTGAACTACATTCGGTACATGAAAAGGGAGGGGAATCATAATGATCTGTGAGAAACTTCTCGCCATGCATCCTCCGGGTTCCACGTTTAAATCATTTGGCCAATATTCACGAAACTAGGGTATTGACATTCTGGCATTTAAGAAGTGTTCTTATTTAAGAAGAGTTCAAATTTTATGAGTATACAAAAGGTATCCAAACTGTAGCATCAGAGAACATCATCTATTTATTTACACACGAACATCCAATTTATTCCTAGTATTCCCTGAGAGTTTAAAAGAACGGAATACGTATAGTTTTCTTTAACCAACTGTTCTTACCTTGTCCTGTAAAATGTCAATATCACGCAGAATTTTCTAATGACACCCGAAGAACGCCTCTGTTTAAGGCATCAACCCTTTCATAAAATCCACACACCTTAAACCCGAGACCAATTTCATGGTGCTATTCTGGTATTCGTCCGGAGAGTCTGCGAAAAATCACGAAAGTACTCTGGACATTCGTGTTCCTTCCGAGGTTCAGACCAGGCACCTCTGGAACAAGTCAGAAAGAACTTTATGATATTCATTCCGAGCCTATTCGACAGTAGCTGAATGTAGTGTCTTTGAGTGTTATCTAATCACCGGGTTTTGTTTTTATACTACTGAGACCCCCTTCGGGTCAGATCTACGTAGCCGATATTGAATCACGCCTATCACAGTGGCCAAGCGGTCTAAGGCGGTCTTCGCTCGCTCGAACGCTGGGATCGTGGGTTCGAATCCCACTCGAAGCATGACTGTCTGTGTGTATATAGCGACCTTGCGACGAGCTGATCACTCTTCCAAGGATTCCTACAGTCTGTGTAAAAAAGATTAAGAAACTAAAGAAAAGGCCAAGGCCCAACAAAGGCCTGCAGTGCCACTGATGAATGAATGAATTAATGAATACTGAATTTCATAAACATCTTCCATTTTGAATGAGGTACTATGCACTAAGGTGCCATAAAACTTCCGTGAAATAATATTCTACATAAATACATTCTACATTCTACATGATATTCTACATAAATTTCTACATTCATAGTCATTCGCATTGTCCTGCAACGTGAAATGTTATCACACATATGAGCATTCACGGAATAGAAATTAATTACATGTCTCTGCAAGAAACAGGAAAAAAAAAACAATGACAATGCTTCATTTGTGTTGCATGCCACTCATTGAATGAAACAGAAGTCACTGAATGGAAGACGGACAAAAGGACAAAAGGACAAAAGCCTGTAATGCACTCTTCTTACGCATATAAAATCATAAAACTAAATATTAATGACGTTTCTACCAGTTCATGATTCTGATGATTGATGATCTTTGCCACTGGGTCATACATAATAATAAACCTGTGCCACAGACCCACGAAGTTTGACAGTTACCTTTGTCTCAACAAGCGCACGTATACAGTTCCTGTAGGACATATGTGGGTTGTTTATCTGCCCGTAATGTATTTGGCAGCTATTTAAGTAGCGCATTACATAGCGTGAATAGCAATCTGTTGGTGAACAAAGAAATTGAAAGGCTGTGGAATAAAGTGTTCCTGGCCTAAGATATGCTATTATCTTTTAACTTCCATAAGGGGACTGGCCCCTCGTTGGTGTCTCCACCTTATCGTGGTGAGGGGGTTTGAGTATGTCAAGGACCCTGAGAGCTATACCAGCGGTAGCGTAGCTACTGGCAGGGCCTCCCTTGCTGGACAGATCAAAGGGTAGACATCAGACGAAGAGAGACACCAAAAACCAAAAACTGATGCCGGAAGCAGCGTCATCAGCAGCGACTTGAAGCACAGAGCAAATGATGCTCGAGATGGTTCAAGTTCGTATAGCAACAGGTGTGACCAGAGTGGTTTGAACGGCTGTTGTACTGCGATGTGGAAAGCAAATGGAAAAACTACCACATTATCACTTTTCCTGGATAGTCTCTTTCCAAAAACAGAGATACCATGTATGCGAAGATAGAGGGGCGGATAGAAGTGACCAGAAAACGAGGAAGGAGACGTAAGAAGATGCTGGATGACCTTGGGGACAGAAGAGGATATTTTTATTTGAAGGAGAAAGCTTGAGACAGCATTAAGTGGAGGAACTGTTTTGGAAGAGACTGTGGACCTGTCCTCTTGACAGATTACTGATGAATGAATGAAGGGGACTGGGTGAAACCGCAAACAACACAACCACAACTGTTGGTGTCGCGGCCAGAATTCGAATCTTGCACCTCCTGAATACAAGTGAGAAGCTTACCGCTCCGGCAGTCTTGCTCGTTACGCGTCACGTACGGAAAATACAATCAGTTGCGGAGGTGTTTGCAGTAAGCATCCCGTTTCTTCT